TTGTATCCAGTGACTGAGATTAAAAATGTGTAGCATTTTACAAATATTTTACCTTTTTTAGTAACAAAATCTATGTATAGTACAGTACTTCATCCTGGAGAGTATCACAGAAAATCTGCTATTAGAATAGTTTTACTGAGGTGAATTAAATAAATTCTTTGGCGCTCTGGCCCTGGCAAAAGAGTTTGATGTTGTGAATCAACATTCGTTTTGATAAGTAACCTATGAAAAGGATTAGAATAATCTTCCCCCCTCAGGAGGTGGGTGAAAGTTTGCTGGCTTGCAGGAGGGAAGCTAGGCCAGAAGCTAAACGATGGCTGAAGCTTGACGTGGGACACGTGGGACACCATGAGGACGATAAGAGACTTCCAGATTTAACTATCTCTTAAGCTTCATTGGAAAAGCGTTGAAATAAACCTTGGTTATCTACTCTCATAGAGAACTGAGAAAACTCAAAGTTAAGCATTTTAAAGTGGCTAAATGTAAATGTTCATTTGCAAATGTCTTTTCTGCACATTAGTTTGTTTCATTGCATAAAAAATGTGTTACTTATAAGCCAAGATGAGGATCTAGTGTAAAGTTTTGTTTAAGTATAATTTAAAACCCTAATACATAGTCAAAGCCGTCTAAAAAATTTGCCAAAAAAACAGGCAAACAGGCCAAAAAAACCCGCAGGAAAGAAAATTCCCATTCTATAAAATGTAAATGAGCCTTCATGTATGAAAATGACATGAAAGAAAAAGGCTTTTGTATTACAGACTCAGCTAAACTGGTTGAGCAGGGCATCATCACAGTATTATGTTGTCACCCTGTCTCTTTCTCAAATAGGGTAAGTGTCTTTATACTTTAGGTATCTTGTTTTAAAAAAGCCACGTACTGTACAGTAGCTGTTGTCCCGAGTCTCACCCTAACCTGCCTGAATCAACAATGGATCTGTTCATCTGTTCCCTTTTTAGCCAAGATCTGGGTCAAAAAGGAATGTGTCAGAGAAGGCGTGTTCTTTACTGCAGGACCCTGTAGATGTTGGAGAGAGTAAATATTTCACAATAATCTCTAGCAGGAGAGGGTGATCAAACTTTGAATAGATATCTTATTTTTTATAGATGACTATATTTGAATTCTTTACCCCAGTCTGTAATTGACCCTAATA